GCTAAAAATTTATTCTTTTTGGGAAGAAGTTGGAAAATTTTTGCGAAATGTGGCTTACCTCGATGGTGTTGTGCAACTTGGCGATCTCGATCTCTTTTGCTTGGATATTCTTCGTCTGCTCTTCTACCGTAGTCATCAGGTCCTTTACCGTAGCCCTCTGCGCCTGTTCAGCCAATTTCAGCTTGCGAATCTCCGAGCTTAGGTTGTCACAATTTCGTGACAAGCAGTCGTTTTCCTTCCTGAATAGTCTAAAGTAAAAAGATCTCTGAGAAAAAGAAAAGGGGCGTTTACCTAATGTGATCCATTTCCCTCTTCAGCGCGCCATGCTCGTTGTGCAAATCTGCGTAGGACCGGAGTTGGCGATCTTTCTCGGATCGTTCCTGTTCGAGAGCCATTCGCATCTCTTCTATCTCACGCGATGGACCAAGAGAGACAGGCTGAAAATATCGATATTAGTACAGAATCATGGTGAAAGTCATCTTTATGGGAAAATTTTTGGTTTATGCTTGAACCCTAACCAATAAAAAAGATAGAGGCCTTTTTACACCAATACCGTATGCTACCGTAATCCCTTAGTTTCCCTACGCTGCCTTATCTCATCGAGATCAAGTAGAGACACTGCTAGGAAGATACTCTTTACAAAAATCACTTTGGTACACCTACCATAATCAACAGAAAAAAATTCATATGTCCTTTTTGCACCTCTGCCGTACGCTAAGGAATACTCATGCTTTCAACACTGCTATAAATCACTTTGTTTTTTCACTCACTCTCTCGACACGTTCATTGCGCCTAGATTTCGCTTGCACTATATCGTCCCTAATAGAAGCTGCGACTACTGTAGCGTACTGTAGCGGTGCAAAAGGCCCGTCTATTATATAAAAAAAATCGCAGGTGCCACATATTTCGTAGAATGTAGACGAACATGTGAGGGACTACACAGTGATCAAAAATATTCATGCTAGGCAGCTACAAAGTTTTATGGCATACTGTATCGGTGCAAAAAGCCCATTTGCTAC